ATGAGAACTGGATGCGAAGCTGGATGCAGTAGAGGAGGTCATCACTTGGTACATTATCTATTCGTACATTTCAGTTTCTTTTAATCATCACTTGGTCATTATTACAAACATATTAACATATAGTGGATGGAAAACTATGGCAAGGCCATACTTGAAGGATCTGATAGGTAAAATATTCATTAACTTATGAAATGATGATCATTTGCCTAATTTTACTTCCAAATTAGCTAAATAAAAAAAAAAACTTGAAAAATATACAAGTTTACAGCTAGTCTTGGTGACTATTGCATATCTAAGATTTAATTCTTCAAGTAGATTGTAATGAATTAAACACTTCAACATAGCATATATGAGATGTATTTTATACAGAAGCATAATTCTCTAAGAAGATTAGATATTATATTAATGTTTCTGATTAAGCTGAGTATTTTGAACCATAATGTTTATTGATAACATTTGCATTAATAGTAATGATCATTATTGCATCACCTTATTAAATAAACGAGCTTGAATAACTTGGCGTTCGGCTCGTTTATGCTCACGAACATTATCGTTTAGAGCTCGTGAACAAGCTTAATTAAAGTTTAATAAAAATTTCTAATTTAATTTTACTAATTTTTACTAAATTAACTTTTATATTTTAAAAATTCCAATCCAGCCTTTCCGCTCCATCTCGCATCAGAAAAAAAAAAAGAAAAAAACTTGCCTGCGCACTCTCGAGAGAAAAAAATTCCGCTTCCTCCTGCCTTGTGGTGTCGTGTGATCTCGCTAGTTCTCGCGCGCTCCTTAGTCCACACCGTGAAAATAGCTTTTGTTTTTAGTGTATATAAAGAAAAAAAATTTGAACCTCATGCAAATAGAAGTGCTGAAGTGGGGAGGCGGAAGTTTTGGTCTGCTGTTGGTGAGCACAACCGATCGCTCATTATCAAGCAACTAGTTAAGAGGCTCGGTAAGCATTAATAAATGAGCTTGAACATTAGCTTAAACGATATTCTTTTAAATGAGCTCAAGCTTGATCGAGGATAAGAAAAGCTCATTTAAAAAACATTTTTAATTGAGCTGAGCTCGAACAATGTCTTGCCAAACGAGCTTGAGCTCGAACAAACTAAAGCTCGGCTCGACTTGGTTCGTTTGTAGCCCTAGGTATAAGTCCTATGATACCCTTTCTCTTTCTAATTTCCAAAGTTAGGAGTAAGTCTTCCTATGCATACTTTTTTACCTTGCTTCTGGAGTTCGGCATAAGTCCTATGAAATCTTTTCTCCATCCTATTTTCTCTATACTTTACCATGGTGTATGGGTCTTCTAAGCCATCTCTCTTTAGTTTTTCTTTCATCAGCATCAATGCCATCTAGTATAAAATGGAGAATTGTTTAACAAAATCATATTTTTAGTAGCTTTATACTTTAGGATGCCCATATATTATATAGAAAGTTTATCTTGAGACTAAGACCTTAAATAACATGGATAGAAATTGAAAAGTGATCTGCCATTGATTATGTTCTATACTTGAATGTTTTTCCGAGGTCAAGACCATAAATAATTGGATAAAAATTAAAAACTGAAGTATCTGTTAATTACTATAGCAGTTAGAGGTTAGCAAAACGTTTGCAATAATAGATATCAATACTTTAGAGAAGCCTTATACTGGTTTCATTGATGGGAGTTGTCTATCTACAACTGCGGGGGTAACATTTCTTATTACAGCCCCTCCGCAGACCCTTCATTAAATAGTGCTCTTTGCAGGCCACTGGTTACACACTTCATTTTAATTATAACCCTTGAGAAGCCTTCTATTGGTTATGAACAAATTTTTGTAGTTTATTATTACTTTACATGCCAAAATGATGTGTACTTTATGCTGAAATCTGTCTGTATTGATAGTTTGAACTCTTCAGCAATCTTCTCCATGCTGCAATTCTTGCTAGTTTGAGAATGGATACATAATTTTCTGTTTCCTGTATGACTATGTTTTTGATGAGAAACAATGCCATCCGTGGCTGTGTTGTTCTAAATTCATATAAGAAGCATAGTAGAATTCCCTAAGCTACTACTGGTAATGAGATTATTAGTGCTTATTGTCCTTTAAGAATAACTTCTATTACAATTGAATCAGTTTCTAGATATGGTTGAGATGAATCCCCTTTCATTGTTTGATCATTTAATACTAGTTCTATTAAGCTTCATATTCAAGAAATTAGTTCCTTATTTAAACTCTTGAGTATCTTGGAAGGGGATTTGCTTAAATATGGTTGAGTTTCGAAGCCCATATATCTGTATCTATCTGTATATATTTACATACATTGTTTTGTTGAGGAACTAAGAGAGAAGGGAAAAGCCACCTAAGAGGAGACATGGTGAATGTTGTTATTGTTCTGTTTATTGCTTCATGAGCGGATCAAAGACTTGGCAGCACCACCAAATGAATCCTGCTAATCTCATTGGTCACCTATCTATGATAATTTTTTATGTTGAAGTTAGGTTTCTATAAACGTTTGTTGTGACTGGTATTGAACGTAGTATTCCTGCTGATTAAGCTGCCTTATCATCATAGCTTTTTGTTGGTGCAAAGAAACTTTTATCATGCACCACACTTAGCCTTTTCTTTATCTACTATTCCTGATGAAACTGATAGCAAAAGCTGCCGAGCTGAGCTAATTAAATCACTTACTTGCCTTTAGTCAAAAAGGAAGAAAGAAAACGAATACATGCCTGCTACTGCCGTTCTGTAACATTCCTTTGATTCTCATTTTGTTTTGCTTCATCATATCATCTATATTATTAATGGATTTCTAATCCTCTTAAACAGAATGGAAAAAATCTTTTACTTTTTTCAGGATGGTTAACCTGCTGAACATTCTGCTACCAACCCCGCATGGAGAGTGGGCTGCTGGTGGCCGAACTCCTAGAACGTAGTGCTTCATGAAAGTAGTAATATTTGATAGTTGGTTGAGTTCTCATAAAAAAACGTAGTAGATAATTACAGTTTTATAATAGAGTTATTTCAAAAAATAAAAAATAAAATACACGCGTGTCTAGGTTTTTTCTCTTACTTTTCTCCTCTCCTTCATCTCAAAATTCTGATATGATTGCATAATAAATCAATTGACATATTTAAGATTTCCAATAAAACCTAGAAACCTAGCATAATATTTTATTAGAACATTTAAGAGGATGAAAATTCTTACTTTTTTTTTCTATAAAGAGTTTCATACGGTGTTATTCTGTTGCTCGACTGAAAATTATTATTATAAACAAATTTTATAAGTGGCTGCGTTTCTCAATCTCCACTAAATTGAAGGACGTACAATTTGTGCAAATCTTCTAGAGTTTGAATTATTCTTTTTAACTGGCCGTCTGTTTGAGGGTAAAATATAGTACTAAAAGTCAATTTGGTACTCAAAGTTTCATGAATATTCTTAAACAATTTAGATGTAAACCTATCATTTATGATTGATACTATAAGTTTTTGTATCCCATGTAACTGAATAATTTCATTCCATATAATTTTTCTATTTTCTTCACATAATCTATCTACTTAACTAGGATAAAATGTGCAAACCTGGTTAATCTATCATAATAACCAATATAGCTTCATGACTCTATCTCTATTTAAGTAATTCATCCACAAAATACATTGCTATCTTATCACGTTTTCACTTTAGTATTGTCTGCACACCTAGCCTTTGATATTACTTTCTAAATGAATTATATAGCTAGAAAAAAGTGCTTCTTATGTAATTTTTTTTTCCTTTAATAGTCAACTTCTTGAACATATGTATCTCAGTAATTCATCATCATCAATTTCATAATCTTCTAAATGAGCTGTCATCATTAAATTTAAAATTTTCTAAAAATCAACATCCTGAGTTATTTACACCGTAAGAAACCTAAGTCTCCTATGAATATTCTCAATTAAAATAGCGGTACGAATTTTATTTAAGAATTCAAAGCTCGATGTCAAAGGAGGTAAGTATTGAAATTTTCAATTGGGACATGATCAAATTTGAATATTTATTTCCGGAGTTAAAGGAAAAAGGGTAGGAGGCATTTAGGATTATGAAATAATTTAGAAGTGCCTCAGTCTATCATAAGTGTTGGGCTTGATTTTGATTGAATGGGATTTAAGTTTGAATAGTCGATTATATTAGAAGGTTGAGAATAAATTCCAGATTGTTGAGGTCTTATATTTTTTAAAATGTAAGTTATGATTAGCTGAAGCTATAGACTAATATACAAAATTTTTTATATTTTATAAATTTAAGCATTTCATGTTGCATTTCATACATTAAAGAGAGTTGAGACAACCGATATAAAATAAATATGACATTTGCATGCAAGTAATGATGGATATCTGTTAATACTATAATTAATATGGGTTGACTATTAAAATATAATACTATATGTAGGAGGGTAGACTTGTGTTTTCCTTTAAATATAGTTTGTGATGTTATCTCGGTTGTAGCCTGTAATCATTTGACTGAATTATGCTGATGGGTATAGGGTAACAACTCTTAAATAATTATTAAAAGTCACCTATGAAATTAAATGATAAATAAAAATAAATGAAAAATAATATATGATTTGACAAATTGATATATATGACAAGTAACATATGAAAGGATAGAAACACTATATTAAAGTTGAATCTTCTGCCTTGTTGAATCCTACATTGATAAAATAGATAGATAAATCATATAAAATTGATGTGTATGCATAGATAGCATATGAATGGATACATGCATTAATAATATATGATAGATAAGAGGGATAAGACTGGTGATTGTTTATGTACATGACATGATAGGTACTAACTACTAATGACCACTGATTTTGAATGCTAAATTGATATATAATGGATTGATGTGAAACTAAAATGACACTATGTTATTGAATATGCTACTGATATGATTGAGTATATTATAAGCATTTATTTCAGTTATAGATATTGGTAACTTACTAGGATAAAACGCTCATTATATGATTTTTATATACCTTTCAGGGAAACATAAGGAACTTTGAGTATGAGCTGTGTTCTGGCCTCGTGTAGTCTTTTCATTTTGTAGTCATGTATATTCATCATGATGAGCTCATTTATTATATGCCTTAAACTAATATATATGTATCATGTTGGGCTTGTACTAGTTGTACACATTAGATTAATATAAATGAAATGCTATTTCTTTTCCTTTCATTTCTACAAAATTTGTAAGTTTTGTTTGAATGGTTAAATGATTATAAATGTAAACATAAAAGAGACAATTGATCTAGATCTTGGGGTGTGGCATATACTCCCAACAAAATAGAGTGCTGAATGTAAACATAGAAATCTTCTAGACACTGTTCATATTCTACTCATTGATTCCCACTTGCCCCCATCCTTCTAGGTTGATGCTCTTCTTACTGAAGTCTATATAATAGATTTCACTTACCTAGCAATTCTTTAATTTCCCCATTTCAACTCCTCTTTAATAGTACTCCTAATTATACCCATCTTCACTATTTTTGTTGTCACTGCTATCCATGGCTTGTCTCTAAACTCCCTATAAGCTAGCTCCCAGTTCCATCTAGTGTATTTTCCTTGGCTATGCCTTTGCCTAAAAAGGCTGCTACAATCTTGCTATAAGTCATATTCTTGTCTCTCAGCATATACAGTTTGGAAAATCCACCTTTTCACCACCACCGTCGAACTCAACATCATCTCCAACTTTGTCCGGTTCTTTACTTTCCATTCCACCATAACTCCCACATACATTCTCTGTGCCTTACTCCACATCTTTAGTCCTTACATGGCCACTGTCTCTAACTCATCTACTCCACCATCCACTTCAACTTTGCCTCGAACAACATCATTTCCTTTCCTTCAACCTCTACTTAATATTCCTCTACTCCACCTTGACATCCCATGAATACACACTTCTAAACAGGTTCCTTAAAACTCAAACAATTTTTTTTTTTATCTCAAGTATACCTTACAATCAACACCCATTTGTTATACTACTTCCATAAAGCATCCAAAATGGCGTCAAGCCTTGTCCACTTAATTTCTTGCACTCCAAACTAAGGGAACCTGAACTTTAGTCTCCCCATCTCCAAATCAACATGTCATAGGATGCAAATGAATATTTAAAATCAAACTACATGCTGATAGATCCATTGCCATATACAACGCATGTTTAGTTGCTCAAGGCTTCAAATAAGAATATGACATCAACTATCTTGAAACTTTCAGCTCTGTCACTAATTCCCCAACAATTTGATTGCTACTAATAGTTGCTCTCCCTTTCAATTGGCCAATCCTTTAACTTGATGTTGTTAATGCCTTTCTCCATGGCAAACTCATTGAAACTGTCTACATGTAACAACTATAAGGTTTTACACATAACACCCCAATCATGTTTGCCTGTTAAAAAAAGTTATCTATGGACTTAAACAAGCCCCTCGTCAATTGTTTGAACTCTTTCAATATATCTTACTCATCAAGGTTTTCATTCTAGCTCGATAAATCCATCATTCCTCATTTATAATCACAATAACATTCACATTTATCTACTTATCTATGTTGATGATATCCTTCTAATAGGAAACGATCAATCATTCCTTTCCAATCTTCTGTACAAGCTTTAGTTACAATTTCACATGTTTAATCTTGGGCCTCTCTCTCAGCTTCTTGGCATTGATATTACTCACTCCTCAAATGTCTATAACCTATCCCATAAAACTTACATGCTTGATCTTCTGTCCAAAGACAGAATGACTGTTTACAAACCACAATCCAATCCACTACCTTCCAAATGGCTTACTAATCATGAATTCTAAAACCAATTAGCAACCTAATTTAATTCCATCAATTAGCTGAATCACTTCAATTTCTCACTATAACAAGGACAGACAAACTTTCCCGTTAATAAAATCATTTGGCACATGCATCAACCTCTAGAATGCCATTTTCAACTCCTCAAATGAATCCTGTGCTACCTTAAAGCACTCTTGATCATGGTTTACTCATTCAGCCAAGTGACCTTAAATTTATAGCATATTCAGACTCCAAATGGGTTAGTGACAGTCAAGATCACAGATCAACAATAGGTTACTCCATATTTCTTTGCAAAACACTTATTTTTTGGTGTGTAGAAAAACAAGCTACTATTGCTCGATCCTTTACTGAAGTAGATATCGCTCCCTTGTTGCTGCCACCTCTAAACTTATATGGCTTCACTCTTGTTCTCTTTAGCCTTCTCTTGTTCCAAAAGTCTTTTTTCATTCCAACAAAGTGGTATCAGAGTCAAGTTTCTTATGTGAAGCATTTCAAATTTTTTTTCAAGAGAATTAAGTTTGGGAGCTTAAAAGCCATTGGAGCTTATACAGATAGATGTATATGGACCAATAAAGCCAAGCTCAATTGGTAAGAGTAACTACTTTTTTCTCTTCATTGATGATTTCTCACAAAAAGTATGGGTGTAATTTTTGAAGCAAAAATTAGATGTATTTGGTGTATTTAAAAAATTCAAGGCCGCCATTGAGAAAGAAAATGGACTCAAGATCAAGGCTATGTGATCTGATCCAGGAGGAGAATTCACTTCAAAAGAATTCCAAGAATTCTGTTATGCCAAGGGGATAAGTCGATCTCTAATTGTCCCACAATCGCCTCAACAAAATGGAGTAGAAGAAAGAAAGATAAAAAACGTCCTGACATGACGAGGAGTATGCTTAAAAGCAAGAGTCCGCCAAAGGAATTTTGGTCATAAACTGTCTCATGTGCAGTTTATTTGATAAATCGTTCACCAACAAGAAGTATGTGGGGACTGAATCCATAAGAAGTATGGAGCAGAAGAAAGCCCGGCATCTTCCACATAAAGGTTTTTGGAAGCATAGCTCATGTACACATACCTAACATGTAAGAAGTAAGTTAGATGACAAAAATGAGAAGTTTATTTTCATCAGCTACGACAACAACTCAAATGGATACAAGCTATACAATTAAAATATTGGAAATATAATTATCAATGGGCTAAATATCCTCAAGCTTTTCATTCAAGCTTGAAATTGACATTGGGGTTTTAATTTTTTTTTTTTTTTTTATAATATTTGTTATAAGAAGATAGATTTTATAATAATGATAAAATTTATTGTCATGCCCATCTAAATTAATTTCAATATAAATTTATTTTGACTATATATATTATCATGCTCTTCTATTTCAACGATTCTTTTATAGTATATTTTCATATCTAATTTAAATAAAAATATAATTAAAAATTATTTTATAACGAGTAATAAATATATAAAAAATTGAATCTTATTAATATAAAAGTATATTAAAAATATGTGAAACTTATAATAAGCATATTTTAAGCTACTTGATTTAAAATTAAATATTATAATCCTTAACTATTGTAATTTATTGTTTTTAATTACCTAAATTTTATATAAAAGAGATATGGAGTTTTCAAAATAATAAAAAAAAATAGAATTTTTTATTTCCCAAAACATATACGAGTAATGTAGAGAAAAAGGAATGAAATTGACATATAAATAAGATGATAGATAAAATGAAATATATATAAAAAATAAAAAATTAAGATGATATTCCTCACACCGATAAAGAGAGAAATAATGTAGGTAGTTAAAAAAGTTTCAAATAGACAAAAAGAGAGAGAGAGAGAGAGAGAGAGAGAGAGAGAGAGAGAGGGGTAGAAGAGAGAGAGGGAGAGGGAGAGGGAGAGGGAGTGAGCCAAGAACAGGGCAAATTATTGCATCCGATCATCGGACGCGCAGAATAGGTTCGGACATCCAATAAAAACATGCTATGTCACCTACGTTTTTGACTTCGCTTTAGGTGCGCTTTTGACGTGCTTAATTTAAAATAATATTTTATTAATATTTGGACCTATCTCCGCGTCCGGTGATTGGATGCAATAATTTGCCTAAGAACACTGGCATCTATGGCAAAAAAATAAAATAAAATAAAGGCAGCTATGGCGTGGAGAGGGAAAACTGAGAGAAACAAGTAAAAGTGAAAAATCAGCACCCCCTCCTAAATTTGTCTTTGATTGGATGGTGAGAGTCCAGAAATGTATTAGAGATTTGCCAATGGATCGATGTGCTTGCAGGGAGAGTCGCAAAAGCGATCGAAATGAGAGAAAAAAATGAAACAATAAATTATGGTTTGAGGAGGCCAGATTTTTAACTATTTGCAATGGATACCCTCCTTTGATTGCAATAAAATTGTATTCATGTAGTGTTCAATGATGCTTATTCACAAATTGAATCATGATTTATAGTTGTTAAGAGTTTTAAATAACTTGTTACTGTTGGAAATTAAACTTAAGTTGGCCTATTATTATTTGGGCTTTTGATTGAAACCCATAATCTAGAGAAATATACCTAGAAATCTATTAAAGAGTAATTGTTAGAAAAGTCTAGAATATGCATTTAATTTCATTTATGATAGAAGATATGAGAATACTTTAGAGAGTCATTTGTAATCATTAGATTAAATTGTGTTGGCATAATCCTAAATATGTACTACTAGTATAAATAGTGGTTGTGTCTTTCAATTTGCATCAAGCCAAAAAGTGAGAAATAAATTTTTTAGTTTCTTTCTCTTGTTCTCTTTAGCCTTCTCTTGTTCCAAAAGTCTTTTTTCATTCCAACAAAGTGGTATCAGAGTCAAGTTTCTTATGTGAAGCATTTCAAATTTTTTTTCAAGAGAATTAAGTTTGGGAGCTTAAAAGCCATTGGAGCTTATACAGATAGATGTATATGGACCAATAAAGCCAAGCTCAATTGGTAAGAGTAACTACTTTTTTCTCTTCATTGATGATTTCTCACAAAAAGTATGGGTGTAATTTTTGAAGCAAAAATTAGATGTATTTGGTGTATTTAAAAAATTCAAGGCCGCCATTGAGAAAGAAAATGGACTCAAGATCAAGGCTATGTGATCTGATCCAGGAGGAGAATTCACTTCAAAAGAATTCCAAGAATTCTGTTATGCCAAGGGGATAAGTCGATCTCTAATTGTCCCACAATCGCCTCAACAAAATGGAGTAGAAGAAAGAAAGATAAAAAACGTCCTGACATGACGAGGAGTATGCTTAAAAGCAAGAGTCCGCCAAAGGAATTTTGGTCATAAACTGTCTCATGTGCAGTTTATTTGATAAATCGTTCACCAACAAGAAGTATGTGGGGACT